AAACCCATACGTGTGGGATATCTATGGATAGGTCTTCAAAAATGATATTTCAAAATGAGATATTGAAAATGAGGTTCTAATGTCATTTTTTTTCTAAAATGAATAGTTTGCGCGAGAATCACTTCCAAAGTGGTAAAATGTGTGTATATCCCCCACCCCCCGTTAGTTCTAAATAAGAGAATGAGAAAACTAAAAAAATATATGATGTACCTACATTTATTACCCTGTAAACTTCCACCGAAAATTGGTTTGAACGAGATCTAGCAAGTAGTTGCTTTTAATACGTCATAAATCGTAAACCGCAATTTATCTTTAATTCAATCAACTCAAATAAAAAAAAACATTTAACTTTATAAACATAAACCTTATGCATAAACCGTGAACCATTATTTTCTAATAATAAATCTGTAAAAAGTGCCTAAGTAAATAATGTTACTTGCTGCTACGGAACTTCATGGGCGAGTCCGACTCGCACTTAGACGCTTTGTCTTATTAGAATGTGTTAGACAAAAGAGTGCACGGTGCACCTGGTGGTATGTGAATACTGTGGTTCATGAACATCTAAATTTATCTTCGATTAAGAATCAAAATGCAGATGCGTTGTAACCCCTGAGGACTAAGATGAAATGCCTCATTTCCAGTAAATTGAGTTTCCAGTTTTCGTCATTTGCCGGCAGCATTATGACGGGGAATATATTTCTATAGTTGTCGCGCTTGGTTGGCGCTGGAAAAAATGCTGCTGCCCACTAAGATGTTTTTAAAGGTATAGATACGTCATACTCGCTCTAAAATGGCAATACGAAAGTAAGGTAATTGCCCGACTCGCATTCAGTCAGGCACGCACTCGCGTCGCGACTATACCTTCGCTACATCGCGTATATCTTCTAATTATTCGTGGCAAAAATGCCTTCCTGTGTTTTTAAGTGGTGCACAAATTACACGGCAACTGTTATATACAAGAAAAACGTCTCACTAATATTTTGAATATAGATGTTTTGTTCATAATTGGTTTTATTATTTCAACACTAACCGCTAGTGTAAACTTTGACGCTAGCTAGTGTGTTCATTTTGTTCGTGCGCTCGCGCCAATGAGCGCTCGGCAGCAATCAACACGCAACTAATGATATATATTCATCTTTTTCTAACGATAGGTATGCCCTATCATTTGTCTCTTTTTGTTAGCGCAACGTGTTATAATAAATAACTGTACGTATATATAGTGCTACCTGCACCACTTTAAAATACAACAATGTTAGTGTGTAACCTGTCTATCTTTTTTAATACGTCTTTGGCTGCCCATCGCTTGTTTCATTTTTCTTTATCATGGGTGTAGGCGACGCGGGCGTTCTAAACATCATGCTTATTTCTACAAAAAGAAAAATTATTTTTACCTAAGTTAAATTTATTTTATTTAAGGTTGGTTACGTTACCGATATTATATCAAAATATATTTTTAAGCTATTCAATTGTCCTTATCTAATTATTATCTATGCCAAAAAAACCCTTAAAATTTGTATTTTAAAATTATTAAAATACTTTCGGGTAGTTGGCTCGCGGTTCAGTCGATCAATTACTTCGATAATTAGCAACGACGACGCACTTTATTTCGGCGGTTCCCTATAATGGGATCTTTGATTATATAAATGGGGTAATATGGGAAAGTGGATACTCTTATGCCGCCGCTATATGTTATATTAGTATGTTCCCTTGCTCAATTGTAATACGTGGTCAATTTTAATATGAAATAGACAACTGTATATATAATAAATAATAATATAGAGCCATGCTGCAGCTATATTAGTAGTATAGTTGTAGCACGAATGGGTCGACTCGACGGGAGAAGGACCACGCTCTCACAGAATACCAGCGTAAAATAGCAGGTTAACACTGCTGCGTTTCGTATGGTGAGTGTAGAGAATCGGAAACCCTTTTAACTGGAAAAGAGGCATTCCATCTTAGTCCTCACGGGTGACAACGAATCTGCATTTTGATTCGCAAACGAGGATAGATGTAGATGTCTATGGACCACAGCAACAACTTACCATCATGTGTACTGTGTGCTCGTTTGTCACTCTTATCCTATAAACAATTAGGTTTACCTATGAGAGATATTATTACATGAATTTGTTAAACTAGCCACTTTGAACTGTATTCAGAAGACTGATAGTGGATGCAAACTAAATTACAAAAGTACATTACACTGATACATACTTCATTACATACAAATATACGTGCCAAACTAGTAAAAAAGGGTGTTATGAATATGGTCTACTGGCATGTATATTATAACTGTTAATGTAACAAAAAAATTAAAATTCTGCCCGTAAAAGTAAATCTTTAAGTAGTGTAAAAGTTATAAGTAAGTAATGTACTTCTTTTTCTTAACAATATTTCTTCAAAGTTGAACAAAATATTATTATATAAACGGTGGCGATCAGACTGCGGTAGATTTTGAAGAGCTTGCAGCAAGTTTAAATTTAATTAATAACAATTTGTGCTTTAACTTCGGGCCTGATCGCCTTTAATATCAGCGCGTTGTAACAAAAAGCTAATAAAAATATCCGTTTTACAAGAGGGGTGCTCATATTCTATTAGTCCTGATAAATCACGAAGCGACAGTTAAGGGATTTTAAGCTTACATTTGAAGCTTAGTTGGAGTGGTTAGTGGGAGTTTATAGGTCTTTACTTAAACAAAATAACTAATATTCTTACAACTGCCTCGTTGGTCTACTGATCGTAAGCGCGACTCTGATCATGAGATCTCGGGTTTGAATCCCGGGTCGGGCCAAAACCATTCATTGGATTTTTCTGTCTAGAAATTATCAGCAGCAGTCCGAAGTCTAGATGTTGGCGGCGTTTCACCTCTGTGCCTCAGAAAGCACATTAATATGTCAGTCCGGCGCGTGATCTCTCTCCATTCATGCCGAATCGTCGTCCAATCGGACCTAAGAGCGCTTTATCACACGAAATGACATTCTTGTAGAATGGGTCATCCGTGGATCACCCTTCTATCCTTAGCCACAGATTAAATAATGTTACCTTAGCCAACGATCAGTAGCAAGACTCGACAGTACAGAGCATTTCCGACCGGGAGAACGTATGGATAGAGAAGAAGCTCCTTGGGAGGTTCTACGAGGTTCTACATGATGAGCATTTCGTAGATACGGTCGCCTCCCTCCACTGGCCACCTTTTTGGCATCGGTTACCTTTTTGGGGAAACCGAGGGTTTTGTCTCAGCAATACAGGATCATGTAATTAAGACCAACAACTATCGGAGATACATCCTAAAGGATTGAGCCGTCAACATCTGTTTAGCTTGTCGCCATTCTGGTGAGTCACTTAGGCATGTGATCTCAGGTTGTTCAGCGCTTCCTAACTCTGAGTACTTTTACAAACACAATCTAGTAGTCAGGATTCAGCACTAAGAGCCCGTTATGAAATACGGTCTGGATCGGAAACTGCATCATTATAAGTATTTCCCGGAAGCCGTGTTCGATAATGACCGCACCTGGGACCGGACCATCATTATTACACAGGACTATTCTTGCGAATGAGCTGTCATTGTGCTGATGGTCCGGGCACAGTCAAGGATATTTTTGGTCGACATTATCATTCCTTTTTTGTTTGCTTATATGCTTCGGCTTTCACGATATCATTCCTCGAGAACATAGTGAAAGCCGAAACAGATAAGCAAACGAAAAATCTAGACCTGGCTCAGTAAGTGAACGACATGTGGGTTGGACTGCTGACCAAAATTATTCTTGTAGTCGTCTGCGAGTGGGCTAATCCCGGTCAACTTTTCGGGTCATATGTGGCGGAGCCCTTCGGATGGCATCGTTCAAAGAACCGTGCCTGAAAACCTACCAGCACTTTTCTTACATGAAAGTCCATAGAACCCAAACTTGTCGATGCTGCTACCACAGGGGCTCTGATGGGGTTGACAAATACGCTCCTAGTCGTATTTCTACGGCGATGCGCAAGCTTTCCCCATCAAGTAATACGCCGAGATTATTGATGGTAAAGCGTGTACCCAGTGACTAGATTCCTTAGTTGAAACAGCTAGAAGTCGTGCCTTATTTTGGTCACTATGGAAATTATGAAACAAATCTTTCTGCATGCTCCGTACCAACGGAATATCCCACTGTTTTTGTTGGTTAACTTCCAGTGGAACATTTTCATCGGGACAGAGCGTTTGCTATGTCTGCCCTGCCTCCGTAGTAAAACACAAGTCTACTTTATTATTTGAAATTATGTTACACAAGACACTTATTCCTGAAAAAAAAATATATTAGGTACACTTATTCTTGTATTTTTTGTAGGCTATACAAATGTTTGTTCCATGTGGGATACGAACCCGCAGTCACATCGCAATTACATCGGTAATTATATTCATCGGAATCAGAACTATTTTGAGAACTTTAAATATATCAATTATTTTATAGTTTTCTGCAATACATATATTGTTATGGCATGATAAATAAACAAATTTAACAATTTCAGTCAATCACTTTATTTGCTCAAAAATAAACATATTTGCCGTAGTCGTCGGGATCAGTCCGTTGCTTTTTTATTTTATTTTTTTATTTTGAATGTAAGAAAACTTAGTCTTAGAACTAAGGTAAACATTATTTTCGATACATTGCTCAGAATCCGTTAAACAAGCTTAATTCGTCGACACATGTTGTACTAATAACATTTCACTTAAAACCTGATGCAATCGAAATTATAGCACAATACTAAAAAACTTATTTCCTAAGTAACGTATTATCTGCGCTATCATCACAAATATACCTCTCGAAACGAGTTAATTTATAAGTACAAGTATCAAAAATTTTCAATACAACACTTTCATTCAATACGACACGAAAATAACTCCAGAGTTAATAAACACAATTATTAATTACAAAGAAAGAATTATAAAGAGATATAAATATGGTAGGTTATGTACAGGCGGCGACAGTATGAACTTGATTGCATCAAAATGCGGCGGCGCGGCGGGTTCAGGCTTCGGCGTTCGGCGTGTGGGACTGCGCTGTGGCGACGCTCGCTCGCTCGGACGCCGTGTCGGGATCTTGTTCACGAACTCCGAGCCAAGGTATACGTTTCTCAAGCTCCGCTCTGTAAATACAATTAACTTGTGTTACTAGCGTTACTGTTTAGTGGCGGTGCAAGAGTAACTCACCCGCCAAGCGTGGAACTATGGCGACTAACCCACTATGAAGCAATTAATGGGGGAGGCCTATATAAGTATCCACCTTTGATAGATTATAATGGTAAAGAAACACTTCTATCGTTTCGCAGGAGTCAGCCATTAGAGATTTAATAGCCTCGGTTACAGTGGTATGGCATAGCTTGCTACAGCCCCGGACCATCAGAGACAAAAATGCCGTCTCAACCCCATAATTTTTCGCAAGTACCTTTAAAAATTTAAATTCAGTATAACTTCTATAATAACCATTATTGTAAAATTAAAACCATTAAAATAATATAATGTATTTTATATAACTATTACTACCCTTGGCAAATGTGTGCGTGAGTGAGAACTTTCAGTGCTACAATTTTTGTTATATTATAAACAAAAGTACTCACTAAAACACTTCAGATGCTTTGACATTTTTAGCAGCCATTTGACTACCATTCTCAAAATCTCCCGCCCGGCGCCATAGTAGCCCTGCCTCCTTATTTGTACGCCACTGCTCTGTTACGGGGTAGCGATAAAATTTGCCTGCATATCATCATTACAGCAATTCACAAGTGCACTGCTGAACATAGGCCTCCCCCAAAGAATGCCACAATGCACGGTCCTGAGCCACATGCATCCATCGACTTCCGGCATGACTTACCAGGTCGTCACTCCATCTAGTTGAGGGCCGCCCCACACTTCGCCTGCCGGTACGAGGCTACCACTCGAGAACCTTGCTTCTCTATCGGTTGTCGATTCTTCGATCTATATGGCCGGCCCATTGCCACTTCAGCTTACTAATTCTTTTGCTTATAATCTTTAGGTTCTATTGCGGATAATCTCATTTCTAAGTTATCACGCAGAAAAACCCCGAGAAAAGCACTGGAGGCTGGAAGTTGTCTAGTCTGCGTGTGAGATGATTCGTAAGGACTCTCGAAAACAGCACATAGACGCGGCTCAGAAGGGAAATCGGTCTGTAGTTCTTCAAGAGAGCGTTGTTGGAAAACATGACCACCGTACTGCTGCTCCACGACTTCAAAGTAGTCTCACCATGGATGACGAAATTAAAGAGCTTCTGAAGGACTTCAAGTACCGGTTTTCCACCCGCATTCCAGACAGATCTCTGGCAAAGACTTTGGAGCCCTGATTCCACTCGATTGCTTCTTCAGTACGAGCTGTATTGAAGTTGCTTGAGTCCCGCCGCATGCATTTGGAGATCTGTCCGTTTACTGCATTGATACTGTCAAATCTACTGAAGACTGCAGCTTCATTTCCAGTCTAACAGCCATCAGATTAAGACTGTGATCGGAGAAGTTTTGTGTTCTTCCGTGACATGTATTGCAGAACTTAGCTTTGACCGCATGAACAGTTTTCACGAGCTTGTTATTCATATCGTCCACTACATTGCAATCTTCTAGGAACTGAAACGGATTTTGTAACTCGAAATGAAAGTTTTCGGGGCGTTGGATTAGAGCACGAGGGGGACGTAGCGTTGAACTTCATTAGACGTGACCTCTCCAACTTAATGTTTAGGTTCAGTCTGCCTCTCACCATCCTGTGATCGCTGCCAGTTTTCACCCTTGCGATCACTGAGACATCACTGAACAGTTGCCGTCTAGTCGTCAGAAGTCACTTTCATTTTTTGTTGTACCGTCGGGGCTCGAGCAGGTCCACTTTCTGTGGGACCGCTTCTGGAAGAAAGGGTCCATCATAAAGAGTCCCTTTTCTATATGAAGTCGGTCAGCTGCTGGCCCTGTGGTTTCCGTTGCCCTATTCCGAATTTCCCCACCTTCAGCTCACCGTTTCTAATTTTGCGTTGAAGTCTCCCATTAACACCGTATAGTGGGTTTTGGAGGAATGCATGGCTCTAGAAATATCCTTATACGTTTCCTCCATCTCCTCATCGGAATTTGCCAAGGTAGGTGCGTAAATCTGTATGACTTTTGGTGCATACCGTTTGATGATTCTGAGTATAAGATGCGCAACCCTGGTCGACACATTCCCTATCTTTACAATGTTATTAACAAGAGACTTGTGGACAATAAATCCGACACTTCATTGGGACAGATGATCGCCCTGCTGGTAATAGAACAAGTTGCCGGATTCGAGGATCACCGTGTCTTCCCCCTCTCTTTGGACTTCAGATAATTCTATAATATATCAGTGCACCTGTCTATCTCTTCTTCCTACTCTGGGATCTTTTATTCAGTCTTCTAAAGCCTCAGGGTGCGTGCGTTATATGTTGCCAGGCCGAGTAGTCTAAGATTAGAGATTATTGACGCACTTTGTTACCATGTTCGCCACCGTAGCCAGGAATAGCAGGGCCGCCGGGGACTGGGAGCCATTTCTATGTAACTCACGCCATGGAGGTATATTGCCACAGCTGCCACGCTTGGCGAGCGAGTTGGAAACCGCAGTCTTTTTATTGTTATTTTGCAGTTATCAGAAAGATGCTGCTGCCAATTCTGCCTCAGTTTCCCTCTGTTGCCTCTTACGACACCTATGGGAAGATATGGGGTAGTGGGACTAAAACTATCAAGAACAACGATGCGAAACAGCGACATTTGATGTGAGACATCACTAACTAATGATGCTTGCCAAGAGAGGGGCCCATGTTTAGAACAAAACAGTGTATGGGCTAATGAAGAAAAGGACAATGGGATAAGACTAATTGGTTATTCTCAACAGCTACTAGGTAGGATTCGTTTTCTGTCAAAGAGTTCGTCTGAATAAGTATTACCCTCTTACTTGTTTCTACCACCAAAGAGTAGTGCTTGCACTGCTGTATTCCGGTCTGATGGGTGTAGAAAGCCAGCATAATTTCAAGCTGTGAGGCATTCTATCTTAGTCCTTGGAGGTGCCAACGCATCTGTCCTTTCGTTTTTTGAAATTGGCTACAGGTGTACATGGACAATTACTATCATATGGACTTCAACTTCGTATATCACTTCAGTTTTATAAAAACAAAGCCATATAGCAGACATAGCTAAGACAGTGAACTGTTTTTAGATCCTATGTGGATTTTTCATAGAATAAGGACAACAAATGAGCACACAGTTCACGTGGTGGTAAGTGGATGCTGTGGCCCATAGACATGAGGCCCTATAGTGGTTAGTCAATAATTGGAAAACAGGAAGAAATAACTAAAGCAGCACTGACCTGTATCTGGGGTGGTTGATGGCATACACCCATGGGTCTATACATGAGACAACTTTGGCGCAAACTGCAGGAATCATCGTGGCATGTGGTGTCAACAGACTCCTGTAATTTATACAGATTTATAAGCAATTATTTTTATATTAAAAAGAGGATGAAGTTTCATAACATTAAGTTCATTAAGAGGAAAGCAATTATTATAATGTCCAATGTCCTCCACCTCCAGATAGAATTTCACTTAAATTTTCAATTTTTATTTGCTCAAATTATTATTAAATTTTTATTGGCAAAAATTACAAATAAACATTTCTTTCGTTACCTGTCACCGTAAGCGCCGGTCAAGGCGACGAAGGCATAAGGCGTCCAGCTACAGACAAACATGAAGAAGATTGTGAAGGCTACTTTTGCGATTCTGATCTCAACGCTTTTGTTCGCATCTTCCTTGTTGCTGGCTAGCGATTTCACGTTCATCTTCTTGGCTTGTTCTTGTAGCATTTTCTCATGAAGTCGGACCTGGTTTAAATATGCTGTTATTTAATAATTAATTTATTTAATTGGAAAACAACACCAACTGACTAAATTAAAATTCATAACAGTCGATCTTAAAAATATATTATTTTGATGAAAAAAAAATCACCTTAATGGGCGATTTCAATAACATAACACACAATAATATGACAATATCTCTGAAAGTGAAAATATTATTCCAGTAAAAACTATTAGAAACTGAAAATTATAGTACGTCTATGAACTATTTGTTGAGGATTAAAGTATTAGTGAATTATCTATATACAAATAAATAAAATTGAAGTGTCCGTTGGTAACGTCAAAATAACAGTTTAGTAAAGCAATTTTTAAAATTTTTGTCAGTCTGTTAGTTCCGGTTAATCTCCGAAACGACTGAACTGAATTTGGACCGTAATTTCACTGGCAGATAGCTGATGTTATAAGGAATAACTTAGGTTATTTTTATATTAGAAAAATAATTAGGGTTTCGTTCAAAAAAAATTAAAACCCATGGAATTCAATCGTAATAAATTCCACGCGGGCGAAGTCGCGGGGGACAGCTAGTTCTTCTAATATTTTCCTTATTGACTTGTATTGTGTACTGAAGTGAACCAATGTTATTCAAAATATTATTATTAGATAATACATGTGCCGTATATGATAAACGATAAGGTAAAGGATAGGATAAAGTTCTTACCTGCTGTTCGGATGGAATCATCTATGTAAGTGTAAAACGGTGAGTGCAAGTAAGAGTACGTCTGCATGTGTAAATTTTTATATTACTTAAAATATTATTTATTAAAAGCAGTTTCAAATAAACCACATCGAAGTAATCACTTCTTTCTGTCATCATTGAATACCAGCGTAAAACAACAGCTTCACGCTGCTGTTTCGTATGGTGAGTGTAGAGAACCGGAGACCCCTTTTACTGGAAACGAGGTATTCTGTCTTAGTCCTCACTAGTGAGTTGTGATGTCTATGGGCAAAGCAAAGCAAGTATTTACCATCGGGTGGACTGTGTACTCGTTTGTCACCTTCATCCTATAAAAATAAAACAAATTCCGATTTGATTCGATTCCGACCAATATGTACATAAATCGTATTGGTCGAATTTGACGCGTTCCTGGGATTCACTCACAATATATTTAGTTATACAAAAATTGGAACCAGAACGCCACGTGATTGGGCAGAAGATGCTTTTAAAGATAATGCTGAAAACTTTCCTACATGGGCCGCGCTTAATAAGCTTTTGCAATTAAAATTCCGCAGTCTTGAGCTGGTCACGCCACCGGACAGAAAAAGGCCAACATCTATAGGAAAAGAATACGCTGTTCACTTATCTACGGGTACTGTAATGATACTGTAACTTCTACAAAACTAAGAGTCTGTCCTAATGCAAGGAATATCACACATTAAGCTAAGCCTTACATAGATATGGCAAGAAACACAATCTATGTTTTAATTAGCCGGCAATGGCCACGCCGCGCGACGCTGTCGTTGTGCTGGTGTTTCTACTAAAATAAACGTTAAATATGCTGCAGAAATTGAACTTCTATCAAGACACCTGAACCCAAACTTCAACATGAGGATCAAAACGTACAGAATGTCAATACGACTGACTATTCAACAGTTGAAAAAATTATCTCAACCAGCATCTGACCGAATCTGCAAGAACTTGTTTTGGATTACCCAATCTATAATCAATCAGAACGAGTTAACCTATTACTAGGGGTTGATGTATGAAGGCCCAAATAATGAAAAGCGAAGTTATCGAGGGACTCCCAGGAACACCTTGTGCTCAAAATCATCAATCAATCAAAAAGCTCAAACGATCCTGGGTTGGATTTTGTTTGGCAACGTAGAAGACAAACAAGCTGATAAATTAATTACCATGGACCATTATCTTGACCTAAACTATATGCTTAAACGAAAGTGGGAACAAGATAAATACATTAAAGTAGTAACTACAACAGAGGATCAATGGTGCAAGAAATCTACGAAACCACGACCGTAAGAAATAATGACGGTCGTTATAATACTACTTTACCTAAGAAAACTAAAATGCTATTATCAACCCAATTAAACGTGAGAATAATAGCTCTGCAGAGACTTTATCGATTTTAGAAAAAAGGTTCAAGAAAAACAAAAATTTAAAGAACGATTATGCTAAGGTCGTGAAAAATTACTAAAAAAATTTTTATGGGAGAAGTATCCCGACAAAATATGATCAATTCATGGTGTAACTACTGCTGTAGTTAAAGAAGAAAAGGAGGAAACTACAAAACTGAGAACAGTTTTTAACGCGTCATAAAGTCGAACCAACAATATCTCACTTAACGATGAGCTGTTAGTAGGACCACAGTTTTAAGGATACCTGAGAAGTCTTAGTATGTAAGACGGATGAAAATTATCTACACTATAGCGGATATACAAAAATCTATCTCCAAGCCATGGTTCAGAAAGAAGACAGAGATTTGCAACGAGTACTGTGGAGATATGATACTCAAGAAATTTACCATGGTCACGTTTGGAACTACTTCTGCTTCTTACTTGATAGTAAGAACCTTGCACCAATTAGTTCATCACAAAGGGCAAAACTATCCTGAAGCAGCAGAAATAATAAAGAGGGATTACTTCATGAATGAAACGATGTCCGTGAAGCACAAAATCACTGATGTTGTCACAGTAGCCAAAGACGTAGATGCTCTTCTCCAAAAGGGTCGATTTAAATTTAAAAAATTGTGTACTAATGATGCAGACTTCCTAAAGGAATTTGAAGATTCTGAAAAAGGCGCTCAAGTAATTCTCTAATTTCTGCGAACACGATTCTGGATCTTAAGAGCTAGGATATTAGTAAAATCAAGGGTCAGAAAATGTCTTGTTTGTGCAAAACTTAATGCCACAATAAGATCACAAAAAAAAGGTGTACAAGACATGAGTACTTTATTATGTCGAATTGAATCTTGCCTCAACTCACAACCGCTTAGCATATTAAGGGACGTGGACACAGACAACATCCAACCATTAACGCCTGGCCGTTTCCTTGTTGTTGAGATTCCCACACCAGTCTTCCAAGGTTATTACCGTTCCAACACGAGACTTCCAAGACTTCCCCACGAATTATTTATCAAGATGGCAATACCAACAAAACATTGTTGACGGACTTCTGGCGTAGAAGGCAACAAGAATATCTGTTAAGAATACAACAATGTCCAAAAGGGAAAAAAGGAAAAAATTTGACATATTATGGTACATTGCCCTTATAAAATCCAATAATTTAATTTATTTATTTATTTATCTCCAGGTTAATTGATGATGCGACGTATTGTTAAAAAACATCCGGGCGCTGACGGTATCAACCAATGTATACTCGTACGGTGTAAAAAGTGGTGCTAGTGTACAAAATCTGTAAATACGCTGTGTATTTACCAATATACATTGAATTATGATTTATTTCACGAATTTTAATTCTAATTGTATCTATCTATATGCATAGTTTTATTTAATATTTACCGATTTTTGAGTCTAGTGTAACCAAGATGGTTATAATGTTTAACAAGTTGGTTGCGTTTTTCACCCCCTAGGAGTGTAATGAGAACTATTTGCCCCTATTCAACCATGATCCCCATGACATCCTCTACATGATAGACTATTCAAACTCACTAGGCCTAATGTTCGAGTCACTCCCCAACTCATTTTTAGTCTTTACTTCCAATAATAATTTTGTAAAAGGGCTCATAGGCCGTTTGGTGGCCGGTGTGTTAGAATCATTTATGTAAGTCAATAAGAGTGAGCATGATGATGAGTACGTATGCATGTGTGAGTCTTTATATTAGTTTAAATATCATTAATTTGTTAAAAGCAGTTGCAAAACGATGTCGAAGTAATCACATCTTTCTGTCACCAAATTTCCCGCAAACGAAAGTAAACCTTAAGCTCTACAACACCTGCATATTGCGTTTTTGTGTAAGATACATCAAACAAGACTTTTCTCTGAGACCTCAAACGAAGACACTTAATTGAAATTGCTTATAATGAAAAAGGCGATATATCATATCGCGATAATTTATGCAATAACAGTTGGTCTCTCTTGAAGCGACGATTAGCACAGGAATAGTGTTAGACGTAGACTCATTGCTTAAGATCACAACTTTTTGTAAGACACTTTAAAAATAAGGCACTTTCCCGGGTATATTTTTTCACACACTGTCACACATATATTGAAATAATGTTTTACTTTCGTCAATAGAAATCTTCTTCTTTTTAATTAAGAAGCAGGTGCTTCACATGTGGTCCCATATAAATTGATCAAGGTCTGACCAATAGTTTTTGAGTTATTCTTAATAATTTATATTGAAGTCGGTTGTACAAAATTTTTAATTTTAAATTACTCTTTACTTAATGTCCTATATGTATTGATCATAAAACCAGCCAGTTACAAACAGTACAACCAAAGAGATTTTTCTTCAATGTTATACAAACAAAATACGAAGAAACTTTTTATCCAACCTATTATTAAAATCTATGAAAATCTATTACGATAACATTGCTACGTGTAAAGGTCTATTATTCGTATCTAATATTCATATCTACTTTGCCTATTTTCACACGCTTTCGTGTATGTCTGTTTTTGTCGAATTTATTAATTTAGTAAAATAATTTTTTTATCTAACTTCCCGATGATGATGCTAGAGATTTGAAGTTTTGAATATAGCTTAGAATTGGATAAATATGTAAGAATATGGAAAAACGTGGTATAATAAACTATTTTAATACATGATTTTTTAATATATTACAATACAATACAAACGTATCCATTTTGTTTAGATTAAATATATATTTTAAATGTCATATATAAAATGTACCATAACAACATTGTATGTTACCAAAGGCATATAAAGCACCACAATTTAATCTAAATAAAATTCGTACGTTTGTTGGCTCAAACGGATCCAGCAAAATAGGCATGAATTGAATTAAGGTAAATTACTTGCACGCCGGCCTTTTTCAATGTGCGAAGGTAAAAGAGTGTGTGCGTAAACTTATTTTTTACGTTTTTCCAAGTGTGGTCGATTAGAGAGGTCCCGGAATATGTAATAAGGAAATTATTCAATAGAAACCCGAAGGGAGCATGGAATCGATGTGAATATTTATTAGGTGCGTTGCGTCTGATTCGTTTTAATATACGATTTAGGCACTTTTAGGGAAATGGTTCGGATACCGAGTAAAAAGGATTTCATAGAATTTATATTGGATTTATAAGTAGAAGTGAATAAAAATAGTTTTAATATAATAAATTATGGCAATGCTAAGCTATACAGAAAATAAAAATAGCTTTATAAGTAAACGTCCTACGAAGGTTTGAAGGGAATGAACAGTCCACCGCGTGGCGCATCTGTTGGCAGCATTTTTTTTATTTCTTAAACTTTCTCACATGTAAGCTTTCTCACGATGTTAACTTGAACTGCCTAGCACGCAGTAAATTATCACATATAATAGTTATAACACAGCAGGAATCGAACACGGCTCGACCGTGTACTATAGAATTTTAAGGCGAGAGATTTCCCCCAAATCTACTTAACTAATAAACTTTCCATATATTGGTGGCGGAGAAAATTCGTGGGTTGGTATCACCCTCTTGTCTGTTTCGAGTAAAGTAGTATTTCATTCAAGTTGAAGACTAAGAGAGCCAGTATAAATACAGACTGTTAGATATTTCCTTTCAATCCTTAGCACGGTTAGCACGGGCCGGGAACAAAAAATTTATCCCCCGATTATATCCACGGACAAGAGATAAAATTATCTTGTCCTTATGTCAACGCACGGCAACGTGAAGAAGTATATCCCCGTTTGACATTACGAGTAGACATATATCCCCCGTCCGTAGCATGGGGCCAAATGAAAGATAAAACATTATGCTTTTTTGACATTTGAAAGGTACAATTCTATCCTAGTTCATTGGACGTGGGTTTAAGTTTATATTCATACAAAAAATCTATCTAAGTCTATCTCCCATTTTATCTACTGTGAATATTATATCCACCGGTGTGCCCATGTTCTAAGGGTGGATGAAACTTAGCGAGGGGATAAACATTTTCTCCTTTCCCCGGGGATAAAATTCTCTCCTGCCCATGCTAGCCCTGCAGGAGTGACAATGCATTTGTGGTCTTCTCTGGTTAAAGTTCAAACCAACAAAGGAAGATGGATGCTGCATTACAAGTAACGCCGAAACCAAGCCCAATCATGTCCATCATATTCTATAAACTTAAACACACATTCACGCCCACATACATATATGCATCTGAAATCTATTTACAAAAGTTAAAGAAAGTAAGAAAAAGACGTATTTGTGAGGCTGAGCATGGTTTCGGCGTCACTTGAAATGTACACATCGCTCTTTCTTTATTTCTTGTTTGGTCTGAAATTTGAAGTTGATGGCTAAGTAGCATCTAGATACGGTGCAGCGGGCCGCAGGTTCCAATGTCGCACGGAACATGTGTTCTTTTTGTAGGAATACAGTTTGATTTACACATAATTGTTCTGAATGTTTGTCAATTTGAGTTTGTGTTTGTGTCAGTTCGTTTTTCACTCTTGATTAAATAATATAAGAGTTTAATACAAGTTAAACATAACACGTTGATCGAAAGCTGTGACTAACTTAGTGAGAATATAAGGCCAAATTATATTAGTAGTATTGTATTGTTTACGTCTGTAAAATTTTAGATAATATAGACGTTTTGAAGTGGGTGAAAAATTAATTACAAAATTCATTGCATTCACATATACATACACACTTACAAGTTATGATCCCATCTCATTCCAGAATCTGGTTCCAGAACAATGATGAAAAGCAGCGTCAGTGTTGCAAGGCATTTTATCACGCTTGACTCTGCTAAATATGGCAATTACAACAAATGTTTTAAGCCGTCAAAAGCGTTTGTCCAGCAGGTGGACTGTTTTTGTAATGATTGTGATATACTTACAGCTCCAAAGAGTTGAGAGTAGAAGAAGCAGATGAGCGACATAGGGATGCCGTAGCTCCAAATGAAGATGGCACCGACGAACACCTTTGTGTCCTGGTCATCGGTGAAGTAGTCGAAGGAGCAGGTGGTGAGGAAGCCCTCTGCGAGTTGTTAGAATATTAAGTTTGATTGATATTTTTTTTACAATACTAGCAGCCCTTTTATAATTATTAATATTCTCATAATGATTTTTTTATAGAATGGGGTGACAAACGAGCACACAGTCCACCTGATGGTAACTGGTTGCTGTAGCCCATAGACATCTACATCTATCCTCAATAAAGACTCAAGATGCAGATGCGTTGTCACCCGTGAGGACTAAGATGGAATGCCTCTTTGGCAGTAAAAAGGGTCTCCGGTTCTCTACACTCACCATACGAAACACAGCAGCTTTAAGCTGCTATTTCACGCTGGTTTTCTGGGGGAGCGTGGTCCTTCCCCGGTCGAGCCGACCTATTCGTACTATAACTATACTACTAATATAGTTGCAGCATGGCTCTACCACGTAAAAAAAATATTTTTTATATTTAGGCGAACACTACTTATTGAATAAAACTACTTTTAAGGTTTTTGTCGCGTTTCATTTAAGTTATTTTTAACTCTCGACGTATCGAGTGCTTTGCAGCACAAGTCACAGGAAAGTATAAGATGTTTGACGCCCCGATGTAGTCAATACTTGACATATCGACGAAAATAAATTAAACTAAACGTTACAAAATCTTACCATTCTACTTGCGAGGAGTCGTTTACGACAGTAGCCGAATGTCGGATTCTAACCCACGACCATTTCGATCGCGGTTTCTAACCCTAACCTTGTGTTGCTTATTTACATTTTTAGGTTTTACGTAGTTTTAATAACGTAATGTAATTTTTACTCGTGCGTATGTACATATATTTATTTCTAGACTCTACTCTGTGTCTCTGCAGGTCGTTGAAGTTTTTTATTTGTTTTTCTAAAGATTCGTTTCTTACAGCCAGAGAGAGCGTTAAGCATATTTTAGTTCTTGTAACGTATTTTATTTCTCTTATTTTTTTATATCTATGTAATGTCAATCTTATTATTTTTATACGTGGTAGAGCATGCTGCATCAAACGAAGATAGATGTAGATGTCTATGGGCCACAGCAACCACTTACCATCAGTTGGACTGTGTGTTCGTTAGTCACCCTTATTCAATAAAAAAAAAATGTTTTATAACCAAGTGAGCCCCGATCTTTAGAAAAGTAAGGATCGTAATATAATTATAATATTATTGTTTTACAGATCATACAGGGTTACACTTACCGGGAACATAACGTCCCCACACTCTAATAGCGGGCAGGACAGTGAAAGGCATAGCCCAGATCCATGTGAATAAAATAAGCAAATAGGCTTGCACTTTGTTTATCCTTCCATCCAGCGGGCACGAAATTGTCCTGCAGAGGTAAATAATTTTTATTATTTCTGTACGTTTGTATAGAATTCTAGTCTGGTTGGGATATATAAATGCCATCAAAAACTTAACTTGTAAAAAAAATCAAGTCTCGGAACTCAGTTCTTCTACCGTAAAAAGTTGTGAGATCCATGTTATACCAAGTCGGTTAATTTATACAGTGCCTACTTAAGGGTTGTTCTGTCTCAAGTTATTACGTAATAAGCTAACCTAACAACATCTTATAGTGACCATATCAATATTAAAAATGGTTTTATGTTTTAAATGCATAGATTGACTTGGCAATCGCACTAAACAATCTAATTTAATATAATATGTGTTACTTGTGAGATACATTGTGTTTTCATGCGATGGCCAAGTCAATCTATTTATTTAACACATAAAAGATTTTTAATATTGATGTGGTTTTGAAATTCAGAAGCCCTAAGCTTTATCCACAACGAAGTTATAGGCGGTCGAAAATGGCCTGAACTGCTTCGACAAAAGGATGGTACGGCCGTGCCGCTTTTTTGCTTGACTTGGCGGGGGCACTGCCGTGCCCCCAGATTAATAGGCAAAATGATAAAAATAAAAAGGATATAATTTAAAATTAAAAATTTTGTACAACCGACTTCAATATAAATTATTGAGAATAACTCAAAAACTATTGGTCAAACTTTAATCAAATTTATATGGAACCACATGAAAAGCACTAGCTTTCAAATAAAAAAAGAATCATCGAAATCGGTTTACGTAGAAAAAAGTTAGTATAGTATAGAATAAAGTTAGTAGTAATAAAAAAGTAGCATAAAAAAAAGAAAAAAGAAAAGAAAAAAATAACATACAGTCGAATTGATCGAGGAGACGGTATCTCCTTTTTGAAGTCGTTAGAAAATTAATCAAATTATATGCTGAAAATAATACCTTACCCTACCATAGTATAGATAATATATGCAGGAAGTCGATGGGTACAGGTGGCTCAGAACAGGATTGTGTTTTATGGGATTCCCTCTGGGAGGCCTATCTTCAACGGTGGACTTGTGATGGGCTGTAATGATGATGATGATGATGAAAATGATAATGATAAATACCATATTATAGATTATAGTAAAATGAATAAATAAAACCCAACCAGACGGAAAACTTCGTTAGGAGAGTCCGAACGGCCAAGGACTAGGCAGAAAGAGAACGAAACGTTAAGTATTATCGTCATCTCAAGAGGCCTCAGAATGCATAGTTGTGTAACATTAGGTCAAGTCAAGTCAGTCCTAAGAAAGTCTGTAATAGCCGTCCTCAATTCTGTATTTGTCATGCATGTCTGACACGGTCAGGGTCATGGTGCGTCGATATTTACAAATGTGGACGCATGTTTGTATACCGCTATTATTTTAATTTGTTTTTATTTGTAGAGAGCTATATGCTTACTTGTATCTGTCAAAGGCAATCACTGCGTTGGTGATTGCGCCGCCGATACCGGACAGCGAGCCGATTATCCCGTATATGTCACAGCCGAGTTGGAAGCCAACTGGATACTGGTAGAACGAATTAATTATAAGCAGCGGCATCTCCAACATCATCGTCAAATCGAACAGCGCTAAATTTATCACGAACATATTGCTTGCACTCCGTAAGGATTTTGATCTGAAATGAAATATAATGAAACGCATATTTTATAAAAATTTCAATCTACTTATAATATTATATTTACTGTACTGTAAATATAATATGATAGAACACTGTAGAAACGGAGTGGATTTGGAGTGAAACTAATCGTGCCACCCACCGGGATGGGCAGGCGGAAAGGTTTGCCGATCTAGCTTAATGTTACGAACGCAATGTTACACCTATTGAACTAATGTTTTTTACGTGGTAGCCATGCTGCAGCTATATTAATAGTATAGTTGTAGCACGAATGGGTCGGCTCGACCGGGGAAGCACCACGCTCTCACAGAATACCAGCGTAAAATAGAAGCAAATGCTCCTGTGTTTCTTATGGTGAGTGAAGAGAACCGGAGATCAATTTTACTGGAAAAAAGGCATTCTATCTTAGATCGTCCCGCGGGTGTCTTAAGAGGCGACTGAGATAAATTGAAACAGGAGATGGGCAGCAGCGTCTTCATGATAACAATTTAAAATTATACAATCCGCCAACCAAGTTTGCCAACCCGCCTGCCAAGAGTGGCAACTATGGCAATATCCCCCTTTGAGGCAATCTATGGGGAGGGTGGTCAACTTCAGCAATGTAATTTTATAGGCTACAATTAATGTATGGAATGGAAATGACAGTGGGCCGTAGCGGTAGACGGTACGGTACGCGTCAGTGTTAGAGCTGACGCGCGCTGCATACTGGCGTGTTCTTGTCCTTGATGTATTTGTGTGCGTGTATATGGCGTATGACAAACAAAATTGTAGAACCTAGGATGCTTCACACATTTTCAATGTTACATTACATCCGTATTTCTTACGACCGTGGTTAGTTAAGGTATAAAATATAAATTCGTAGAAATGTAAAGGAAAGACATAAAAAAGTGGCAGACTGGTGATAATGTGCGGATCTTCTCCGGAATAACAAATTCTACCGATGGAAAATCGGAGAGCGAAATAATTAAAAATTAAAAATTTTGTACTGCCGACTTGAATATAAGTTATTAAGAATAACTCAAAAACTATTGGTCTGACCTTTATCAAATTCATATGGGACCACACGAGAAGTACTAGCTTTCAAATAAAAAAAAAAAACATCCAAATCGGTTACCCAGTAAAGAGTTATGAGGTAACATAATAAAAACATACAGTTGAATTGAGTACCGTCTCCTTTTTGGAAGTCGGCAGAAAATGAGTGTTAAATTAAAAAAAGAAAAATTAAGAAAAGAAAAAAAGAATTTTTTATGACCAATATGTAATTTGGAGGAGTACTAGGAATTATTCTGATACAGGTTATATGGATTACTCTGGCCCTAAAGTGTGGATCGCTTCATATGTCTTACAAATTAAATATTTGTGTTGTTTATATATGCTATCAAAATTTAGGTAATTCTTCAATACAGCAATTACAATGTTTCTACACTTAATTAAATGAGACTGTGTTAAATAACTCGACAGAAGATTTTTTAATTCTAGGCGATTATAATTTTCCGAACATAATATGGCAGCCAGCTGACGATTGGCAATCTCATTTATGGTAAATTATTATAGATACGTCGTCTGGTAGTGACATTAGAACCCAGCAACCCATTTTGTCCCGTGGGTATTTCAGGAGACGTCACATTATTAAAAATAAAGTAAATTATATAGATCTAGGTACTACATAGAATATCTTTTCCTGAGCTGGTAGCTTGCACGCTCTTAATTGGTTTGAAAATGGGAAAACGTATTAACTCTTTTCAGTATAGACACTTAAAATAGTAACAATCCGGACTGACTTGTAAAGTGTTAAAGAGATTTTAATATTAAATTCCTTTCAACACAACTCGGTCTATATCGAATTCTCTTCAACTTAGTTTACGATCTTTAAACTTTGAAATATTAAAATTCAAAGTATGTATGTCAAAACGGAATAGTTCGAGTGTTGGACTGTTAGTTTAAGCTATTCTGGAATTGTATAAGCATTCTGAATTGTTATCTTGTCTTCATACTTTATGAATAATATTTAGTTATTTTTCGGATTCGAAAATGTGCATATAAAAATTGTGATTTTTTTAGCATTTGTTTATTATTGTATAATTTATCGAATCTTTGACAAACATATTGTAATATTGCAAAACAGACTCCAAATGATTATTGCATAAAATATCGAATTCCGCTACACTTGTTCCATTGACATAGATTCGAAAGAAACGAGGAAAATAAAAAGAAATGGAATAAAAATGTATTGGCGGAACATTGGAAACGTTTTCCGAAGTAGCGTAGAGCGTGGGGTCGGCGGGCGGTTCACAACTTTGCCGGTGACATTCGTTTGAAAACTTCGACTCGGATGTCGGATGAAAATACTCAATACGGTATTTTAATTTTTTTTAAATATCAAATATGCGTTAAGAACCTTAGTCTCCCTGACAATGGGCGCTGCAATTAAATTTTTTGTATAGATTATGGGTGACAAACGAGCACATAGTCCACCTGTAAGTGGATGCTGTGGACTATAAACATCTACATCTATCTTCAATGAAAATGCAGATGCGTTGTCACCCTTGAGTACTAAGATGGAATGCCTCATTTCCAGTAGTAAGTGAGACCGGGTATCTACACTCACCATACAAAACAGCATCATTAAAATGGTATTTCCACATATCAGTATTAAGCTGCTATTTTACCCTGGTAGTATTTTGTGCGAACGTGGTTCTTCTCTGGTCGAGCCGACCCATACATGCCAAAACCATAATATAGCTGCAGCGAGGCTATACTCTATAACTTATCTATATCCGTCTGAGTATCACTCCTTTTTCCTATTTTTGTAGAAGTATGGTTGACAAGCTAGCATGTAGTCCAACTGATGGTAAGTGGATGATGTGGCTCAAATACACCTACATCGATATTTCCCTACATCTATTAAGAATCAGAATGCTGATGCGTCGCCCCTGAGTACTAAAATGGAATTACACCTTTACCAGTAAAATGGTCTCCGGTTCTCGTCGCCCACCATACGTGATACAGCAACAATATGTTGCTATTTAGGGCAAGTATTTTGTGCTTGCGACTAGCTTCCTCAGAAAGTAGCCATATCCGTGATGCAGCCATAATACACCACACTGTGGATCTACCAATTTTCTACCGCTAAGCTTCTGTGCTCCATCGTTGTGAGCTCGTTTAAAGGTGTTAAACAGAATAATCACACGATGTATATCCTTTATAGGTTTTCAGCGGGATTAGTCAGGATGACTTTCTATTATCGTTAACGCTAATATAAAACTATAAGCGGCCAAGTGCGAGTCGGACTCGCTCATGAAGGGTTCCGTAGCAGCAAGTAACATAATTTACGATCTATGACGTTTAAAAAAAAAACTACTTACTAGATTCAAACCAATTTTCGGTGGAAGTTTACATGGTAATGTACATCATATATGTTTTTTAGTTTTATCATTCTCTTATTTTAGAAGTTACAGGGAGGGGGGGACACACACATTTTACCACTTTGAAAGTGTCTCTCGCGCAAACTATTCAGTTTAGAAAAAAATGATATAAGGAACCTCAATATCATTTTTGAATACCTATTTATAACCCCACATATATGGGTTTCATGGAAAAAAGTTTTTGAGTTTCAGTTCTAAGTATGGGGTACCCCCAAAATTTATTGTTTTTTTTTCTATTTTTGTGTGAAAATCTTAATGCGGTTTACAGAATATATCTACTTACCATGACATGACGAATCCATAAGGGTTCCGTTTTTTGCCATTTGGCTACGGAATACTAATAAAAATAAAAACTGTAATACAAAGTAAAAGCTATAGAAAGTCGGAGCTAAGGCATAATGTATTGAAAAATTAAAGACCCGACTTCAGAATGCGGAATTATTTAATTATTTTTGGCACTTTGAAGTCCGCTTTTACTTTTAATTAAATGCTTATTTCTTTAACCATTTTAGTGGACTAAGGAATGTCATAAGCTCAATGTAACAACTAAAGTATCATTTAAATAAAATAAATCTACAAGATCGGTTCCCAACATTAACGATAATATCGCGTTCCATATAATATAGGTACAGAAAAAAAACATACAGTCGAATTGAGCACCTTCCCCTTTTTTTGAAATCGGCCAAAATTAATAAGGAACAGAATATCTCTTAAATATCATTTATGATATTGTTCCTACTTAATTTTCGGGATATAAATTTTTATAAAACGTTGATATCAATCATGTTTATGTGTTCTATTGTAGAAAGTGATCGTGGCTGAACCTCGGTTAGATAACTCATCTGTGAAACGAAACCAGAAACCTGGAAGGCCATGAGTCCGATGAAGCTTCAAAAGCCAAAAGGCTAACAGAAACTAGATGAAACTAGATGATAAGCTGCGTTGCCTACCATCAAGTGTACTGTTAAATACACGTTTGTCACTCAAATATTGTTAAATGAAATAGAAATATATTGACGGCTCCGTGGCGCAGTGGCTTCGCAATGAGTTGCAGCGCCAAGGGCCGCAGGTTCGAATCCCGCACGAAACAAATACTTGTATGGTCTACAAATAAATGTTCTGGGTCTGGATGTGTGTCCTTGTAAAATTTCTGTATGTAAACTGTCCCTACGATACAGGACAAAATCCTAGTGTGGAGGTAGCGTTTTTTTTTTAAAAATGAATGAAAAGAAAGAAAGAAAAAATATATATGAACATTTACGGGCTGCAATTAAAACTCTCTTGTACTGTTAATATTGATGCATACGATATAAGTTACTGTACTTCCCTTTTTACTTACAGTATAATAATAAGTAAAAAAAAAAGATAAAGTTAATAAATCGGCGTTATGTAATTTCGCAGCTCCCAGGCGTCAGTCAAGTCGCGGCGGTCTCAACACGTTTAGGAACTTAATTAAATCGCCACCGAGTGACGCAGTCAACAGCACTCGATCTAATCCTCAAATTGTTCCAAGTTATTAAATTCAACATTGCTTTGTCCAACGTATTCTTAATTCGTTAATATTTTTAATATTTAATTAGAATTTTGACCCCTCATTTGTTATTCATTTTTTTTTCATTACAAAACATCTCAAGTTTACTGCTGAACATAGACCTCACCCAAGGAACGCTACAAAACACGGTCCTGAGTCACCTGCATCCATCGACTTTCTGTATGGCTTATCAGGTCGGCACTCCATCTAGTGGGGAAGTAAACACTTCGCCTACCAGTACGAGGCTGCCACTCAAGAATCTCTCTTCCCCATCGGTTATCAGTTCTTCAAGCTATATGGCTGGCCCATTGCCACTTCAGCTTATTAATCCGTTGGGCTATGTCGGTCGCTCTTGTTCTACTGCGGATATCCTCATTTTTAAGCCTATCACGCAGCGAAACCCCGACTATGGCCCTTTCCATAGCTCGTTGAGTGACCTTGATCTACCTCATATCGCCAGCAGTGAAGGAACACGTCTCAGATCCATAAATCATTACTGGCAATACGCACTGGTTGCATAATCTTGTTTTCAGGTTTTGAGGTATACCTGAGGAGAAGATGTATTGTAATCTCCCAAACGCTGCCCAGCCATATTGAATCCATCGATTGACTTCTCGTTCGAAGTTGGACTTACTTAATCGGACTATTTGTCCTAAGTAAACACACTCGTTGATAATTCTGAGCGTAGTGCTCCCAAAAACTACCGGCATAGGTGTGACAATGTTACACATGACCTTTATTTTGTTCATGTTCATCTTAAAACCTGTGTGTTATAGGTCCTCCAGTGACTCTGCTATAAGGACTATATCTTCGGCGAATCTTAAGTGATGTACTCGCCATTGATGTTAATACCGTCCAGTAGCTTGAAAACGTCTTTCAATGCAGCGGTGAAGAGGTTCGGGGACATAACGTCACCCTGTCTTACATCTCTCGGCAGTTGTATGGGTTTCGTACTCTGCCTCTGTACTAGGATAGTCATCGTGGCCCTACTGTACAAACATTTCAGTACTCCGATCCGATGTACCAACAGTCAACTAGGTACCGCTGAAGGGTCTGTAGCACCGCCCAAATTTCGACGGAATCAAAGGGTTTCTCATCTCTTTTTACAATCATCGAAATATTAAGGTATTTAATGCAGAGGTCCTAACCCTAGTCCTTCTGGTTGAATTAGTTGATATTCTTTTTGAATAATGGCAACACCACTTTGGTTACATACTCGTAGTTTATAAATTAAAAACAGCAATAAAAGTGGCCCTCCACATTTTCTTAAGCTTCTTTTTTCTATTGAAACTAACTGAAACGTCGAATAGATAAGTCATTACAGAAATTCGAATAAATAAGGAGCCAAATCCAATTAATTTGTGTCTTTGTACATAAATTGGCTCCGGATAGGACTGGAACTGTTAGCAGTAGTTAAATTAGTAATAAAAGAAAATGTTCATATGAAAGGGCATATAGGAGACATGGCACGTTTCACATACTTTATGGGTACATATTCTTCATATCATATTTGCTCGAGAAATATTACCTAAACCTTAGGGACGTTCAAGAAACGAGTTAACTCCTTTTTAAAAGGCCGGCAACGCACCTGTAATTCCCCTGGTGTTTCAGTTGTTCATGGGCGGCATTCGACACTTACGCTCTGGTGAGCTGCATGCTCGTTTGCCCCCTCTTCTATAAAAAAACCTACCATTACCTAGCAATCTGTGTATATTGGCTGGAGTTCATAAAGTTTTATGTTTGTGAATACTGAATATCATCTTAATATGCAGGGATAATCAATGGAAGGCAGCAGTGAACTTGTGATAACCATAATGATTATGATAGGATAAAAGCACATATTATGCTAAGCATGATGTGTTTATCTGTGACTAACGACTACCCGATTTAGAAGTATGGTGTTATCTTTTACGACTTGATCACAAAAGGCCATATACTCTTTACTATCCTTATATAAAATGAACACAACACATCATAATACACGACAAAAGCGTATAGCTAAGATAATCAATGGATAATTGAAATAATTCCACCAAAATTTTAAATATTGTGATGCAGTATGATTACCGAATTAAATATCATCACGTAGTTTTAAAGTTGTTGCAAATACAAAAGAAAATACGACACGAACGGCTTTGTTGTGCGATTAAAATAGCTTCATATATAAGAAACTTAAATAATAATATTGCACAAAATGTAAAGAGGTCGAGAGAAACAATAAGAATCTACATTATGTTACTGATACAAACAGTGTTAGTATTCAGGAAGTTTTAGAAACTCTGAGCGATAGCCGCAAGCGATTTGAAACAAGCTAAGTGTATGTTAGGAACATGATGGTAAATTTGTCCTGATGGCTCTAGGCACTGCGAAATCTGTCAGTGTACATATTTAGGTTTTTTAATAATTTTTCTCAAGATTTATGTAATAAAGATAATATTCGTCGAGATCACAAATTTCAAATAATAGAAGAATATTAATTTCGTTGGACATAACTACAGTGAACGGGAAAAGTTATACATGAGTTAACGTTTTTTTTTATTTATTTAGATAAAACATGCTCTTGATTTAAAATTAATTTTCAGCTCTAATTTCTAAATTATTAAGGCTTTAGATCTGAAGTGTGCTAGGATGTAGTGTAAGAGATAGAAGCCAATTATAATACATCTGAGATGTATTGTTTGTGATAATCGTAGTTAGTAATTATCGAGTGAAGGCGAAAATCAATCTTCAGTGTTTCATAATTGAGTTAAAACCATCTTTGATTAGATTAAATATATAATTAAAATGCATTTTTTGAGTAACGTAAGTAGTGCCAACGCATTTAAACTTATAGCTCTCCATTAACGCAAGGTCGTTGAAATCAATTTCTATACATCTTTTAAATCCCGTCCGTCCCGCCCGTCAGCCGTAAAGAGGCAACGTAAGAGTACAATGCTCCAAACCATTCCGTAGATGTTGTAAGAGGTGTTGTAGGAGATGGACAGCAGCATCTTCCTCATAACAACTAAGAATAATAAAAAAATTGCGGGCACCTATCCCTCTGTCAACCGTGGCGAATTATTGCAAATACTCCTATGAGGTAATCTATGAGGAGGCCCATATTTAGTAATCATTTGATAGATAAATAAACTAAACTAAAATAAACTAGATGATGGGAAGAGGCTTAGTAATGTAGTATTACATTTTCCAGTAACCATCTTGCACGAAAATTTGACTTCTTTGCCAATAGGTAATAAAAAAACTTTGGGCAAGAATAAAGTGAAATGTATAAAAATTTACAGTTCATACAACATGCTTATATGTAGTTAAAAGAAAATTTATAACTCACGTGCTGAATATCCAGATGACTGTTCCATTTCCAATAAGGGATATGATCATGAGCAAGGAGTAGATGAACCCTAGGCAGAAGTGCCAGTATTTATTGACCGCGGGGTAGTTGCGCCAGTGTTCATGCACCATTTCCTGATGCTCCTCAGGGATGTTCCAGCCTAACATGTGCTCAACGATTTCCGACGAGACCCTGAAATTAAGGGATATTAGTAAGACGGATCTTTTAACGTTTGCATATGATACGAAATGCCCTTCGTTATTTTGCTGATCGTCTGAACTATGATATTTTACAATTTTTTTATACGAACAGTATATTTTTTACATAAAGAGGACAAACATTATATTTTACTATTGAAATCTTAGGAGTGAGGATCTAAAAAAATGACAATTAAATGGTGAAATATTTTATTTTGTTTATTAGTCTATAGACTAATAAACAAAATAACAAAGTAACTTACGCTGATCAAATTGAGAGTGTTTTGCATGTTTAGCAATAATTGAAATTAGTTTTAGTTGTTTTTTTTATTTTTCTTTTTCACCATTCAGGGGTAAGGGAACAGGAAAAATATATAGTTAAGATAATACTAAAGAGATTAAAATACTATAATAAAAATACTAACAACTTCATGGGGTAGCCCATAGGGCCAATGTCGTCAGAATAATTTGCTGCCATTTTGTGCAACGCCTAATATAAGGTAAAATTAAAAAAAACTCTACTTGACGAGCACTCAACAGAAGGAAGAAAACTGTACCATTGGTTGTTGAATTTTTAACTATACCAACTATGTTCTAATGACGAAGTGAGTAGTCCGACATAGACTGTCGCTTCTCACTTGTGCTGTGGTTGATGTGATGTACACTTTTATATCGGCCAAACCGTGCGTGCCTGTTAATTCCTTAATTGAATAAAAAACTAAAGCTTCTTGTTTATTTGGTCAAGCGTGAATCAGGCAAATGCCGAGTGTTCTCAATCTGTGTTGATTTTTTTAAAATAATTTATATAAACTAAAACATACGTATATTCATTTTTGCAGTAAAAGTTCACTGTTGGACAGGGGCCTCTGAAATCGTAGGAAGTGTTTAAGAGGTAGATGGGCAATCATAGTACCGGATTGTATAATTTAAATTTAATTTAGCGTATGCGTAGCGATTGTAAATTTAATTTAGCGTATGCACCTCGTTACGGATCTATGTAATTGACATCTGTTACATACGAGATGATTTACCGCTATTTATCAGAAACCACGTAGTTTTTCTGGCTTTTAGCTTCATAATGAACGAAGTGGGGTAAGTAATTCTCTTACGATTCTTCCACATGACAAAGTGCACGTAAAGTTAACAAAGAATTGTGAATTTACGTACAATTTCTTATTTATATTATTCTATCGATGAAAGAGGAGGTCTGTGCCCAGCAGTATGAAGAATTAGACTCTTTTTTAATGACGTTAGATTCAGTAGTCAGTAGCAGTATTTGTAATCAATTTTTTATAGTTTATAGTGATTACCATTATTGAAAAGATTAATACCAAGATTTTTTTCTATGTCCTTAAATGTGTGTTTCATATTTTTATTAGCCTATAAAAGTCCCTTGCTGGGAATGAACCTCTCCCGTTGTAGAGAATTTGCCATAATCGCCACGATTGGCATCGACCACGATGGCACCACCGTCTGATTGGAAATTGCAGTGCCACACGTCTGCTTAAATGTAATCTTTACAGCCCTTCACAAGTCCACTGCTGAACGTAGGCCTCTCCCAAGGAATGCCACAAAGTACGGTCCTGAGCCACCTGCATCCATCGACTTCCTGCATATCTTACCAGGTCATCTTCTTACCAGGCCATCTAGTGGGGGGACGCCCTACACTTCGCCTGCCGGTACGAGGCTGCCACTCGAGAACCTTTTTTCCCCATCGGTTGCCGGTTCTTCGAGCTATATGGCCGGCCCATTGCCACTTCAGCTTACTAATCCGTTGGGCTATGTCGGTCACTCTGGTTTTACTGCGGATATCCTCATTTCTAAGTTTATCACGCAGAGAAACTCCGAGCATAGCCCTCTCCATAGCTCGCTGAGCGACCCTGAGCTTCCTCATCTGGCCAGCAGTAAAGGATCACGTCTCAGTTCCATAGGTCATAACTGGCAACACGCACTAGTTGTACAGTCTCGTTTTCAAGTTTTGAGGTTAACCTGACGAAAAGATGTGCCGTAATTTCACGAACGCTGCCCAACCGGGTTGAATCCGTGAATTCCCCGTGTAGTGGCGGGAAAGAATACTCTCTACCCCATATCTTCCCGTGGGTGTCGTAAGAGGCGACAGAGGGAAAATGAGGCAGAGGATGGGCAGCAGCATCTTTCTGATAATAGCAAAACAACAACAAAAAAACTGCGGTTGCCAACCCGCTCGAAAAGCGTGGCAACTATGGCAATATACCCCCCATGAGCAATGACATTAATAATGGGCCCCCAGTCCCCGGCGGCTACGGTGGCGACCATGGTAACAGCGGGGCAGGGGGTACTAAGAATTTCCGGTGGAGATTCGGTTGCCACCTACGACAACACGAGCTGGCAACTTATAACGCATGCTTAAATGTAAATCTTTCAAAAATTACAAAAAAAATGAGGAAAAAAACGAATATATATGGAATGAAAGGAAATATTTCGTAGATAATAATAATTGTAAGTTACCACATGATTTTTTTATAGAAAAAATGTCAAATAAAACAAACAGTAATACAAGAAGTCTAAAAGGCATGATATATTTTGAAGTTAAATCAAAGCAAAGTGAAGATTTGAGATTTTTTCGACTGCTTTTCCCAGCATATTTTATTCTTTGGTCGTATCTAAGTCATATCTCAGGCCAGATGGTTTTATCCGCATGACATGTCTTTTTAGGGTTCCGTACCTCAAAAGGAAGAAAACGGAACCCTTATAGGATCACTTTGTTGTCCGTCCGTCTGTCTGTCTGTCTGTCAAGACCCTTTTTCTCAGGAACGCGTGGAGGTATCAAGCTGAAATTCATATCAAAAACTCAAATCTACTGTCCCTTGGAGCTGTGAAAAAATCAAACTTCTAAGCTAACGCAATCAGAAGATACAGCCGTTTATGCCGCAAAGTTTTCGACATTCGCAAGGGAATCAAAACCAACAGGGTACTTCCCGTGAACTCAGAATCTTAAAATTTGGTACGAGCAACGTATTATAGCACAGATAAAGGAAAAATTGCGAAAAGCATAAATTTTTAGTTACATCATATAGTAAAAATATTTTTAATAATTTTAAACTTATATACCTACGGATTTGTTCAGAACCCTCGGTGCGCGAGTCCGACTCGCACTTGGCCGGTTTTTTATTCGTTAAAATCTGTTTATGTAAAAACGAAAATAGGTATTACATTTGTGATTTTTTCGAATTAGCTTTTCCCAGGATATTTTATTCTTTGGTCGTATCTAAGTCATATCTCAGGCCAGATGGCTTCATCCGCATGACATGTCTTTTTATTCGTTAAAATCTGTTTCTGTAAAGATGAAAATAGGTATTAAGTACCTACCATTATTATACCATTTTAAATTATATACCTACGCACCCGTCGTGGCGTGGAGGAAAAAAGAAAACACGTTTATTCCAGTTAAGGCCACAACACAAAATATAAAAAAGTTATAATAAGAAGAAGAGAAAACTAAGTATCAACAAAATCATAAAAATGAGAAAACACACTTAAAAACCTGTGCTGCAGAATGAAACTGCGCAATGAACTTAGTGAAAGCACTGGTTTCAGTTCCGTCCATACCGTAGTACGTTATTAGGATCAGTATTCAAACCTATAGAAATAACTTTTTTTTAAAAACTCGACCATATTTTTTAATTTTTTTTTTAATTTTATGTGGTGTTATTACCTCTTACTGACAATAGCCGATGCTAAAGCTAATTAAAGCGGGGTCTTTGACAATCCTCACACTCCCCAGACAATGCAGAGGTAATAAAACCACATACAATTTGCATAAAATTATATTTTTTTTAAATAAAATAAAAAAAATATTGTTCGACTTTTTCAAAAAACGTAGTAAATTTAGCTTTCTAAAAGAATAATAATGTGTTAATATATTAAAATAATCATCACTCTATTTCATTACGTGGGTGTTGTAAGAGGTAATTTAGGAAAACTCTTAGAATATTGGAAAGGTTTTTCAACTCTTAGTAATTATTTTCTTGTTCAAGCACCGTGAAACTCAGCAGCCATCGCTGTCGTTCACCCGGTTATGAAGAAATAGACCACCAAAATTTTGAAGCTAAACTAGAATAAAAAATTACAATTCTAAACCGACACGTTTTTAATCGACGTTTTCTAAGCACAGTGTGCCCAAATGTATTCACGTGCTCCAATGCGGTTCCTCAAACATCGCAGTAAACTTACAGAGGCTCATTTGTTTCCAGTTCATCAACGGTCAGAACCTGCTATCAAGCTATATAATGTGGTAGCAGGACTCGCTGCTCAGCACTCAGTGCTCCTCAACAAGTGGCAATACATAATTTAACACAGAACAAGCATCGAGCGATTGACGTCCCTCGTTAATTTAGTAATCCACTTGGATCAAACGAGCATGTCTACAACGAACGGGATCATCTTCTCACGCAAGGCATCTGACGGAATTATCTGATTAAATAACTAATTCTGATTAGTTTTAAACAAATAGCGCCTTTCCTAGTGTTGTCAGATTTATCGCATACTCCAATAATAAATATTAGTTATTGTTCTTTAACTATAAAATGTTTACACAAAAAGCCTTTAGTTACATAAATTCTGCAAACAAAAGCTATCTACATCATCCTAAAGTAAAGCGGTCATAACTCAAAGGACTTCATTACAGAGACAACGAGATTGCGAGGCCAATCCCTAGTTTTTGAGGCGTCACGAGGAATTTTCACATCATGGTCCGCAACGTGCTTGGAATTTGCCCCTAACATTTGCTATTTCCTTTTGTGGTTTGAAATAGACCTCTCAGAGAGATGTGGTAAATTTGATGTGATTTAGATAAACTGACCTATTATATTTATTAAACTGTACACTGACAAACAAACTTATTGTCCATTTAATGGTAAATGGCTACTGTAGCCCATGCGCACTTGCAGCCAACTTCAAGGAAAGAACTTCAAATAAAAAAAGCGTTGCCATCTCTGAGGACCAAGATGGAATGTCTTTTATACCAGCCCTGCACTGCACTGTTATTGGGCTGCAAATATAGGTTAGTGATTAAATACAAATTCTTCATCATCATCATTACAGCCCTTCACAAGTCCACTGCTGAACATAGGCCTCCCCCAAAGAATGCCACAAAGCACGGTCCTGAGCCACCTGCATCCATCGACTTCCTGCATATCTAACCAGGTCGTCACTCCATCTAGTGGGGGGACGCCCTACACTTCGCCTGCCGGTACGAGGCTGCCACTCGAGAACCTTTCTTCCCCATCGGTTGTCGGTTCTTCGAGCTATATGGCCGGCCCATTGCCACTTCAGCTTACTAATCCGTTGGGCTATGTCGGTCACTCTAGTTCTACTGCGGATATCCTCATTTCTGAGTTTATCACGCAGAGAAACTCCGAGCATAGCCCTCTCCATAGCTCGCTGAGCGACCTTGAGCTTCCTCATCCGGCCAGCAGTGAAGGACCACGTCTCAGTTCC